ACCTTCGCTTCAAAAGGGAGCAACCACGATATCCTGCTAATCATATCAGGTAAATGCATATTGTGATGCCAATATGGAGAAGCACTTTGGCATGGGATAAAACAGTGACAAACTTAACCAACAGACCTGTTTTACATCGACGCAGGGCGCGCATAGAAAACAAAAACCGGATACTACTTGTGACTTATGTGGATTCGCCAATATTGGCCTTCGACGGCCTTCTCGGCGGCCAATATTGACGGATTCACATTCACAGACTCCAGCGCAATGCATGTGACCACCTCGGGACATCAGGCGATACATAAAGCTGCTTTGCTCAATATCGTCACTATCCCCAACCAAATCGCATCTACCGAGACATGGAGTCCCAGTTGAAGGAATGTCGTATAATGGGCGGGTATAATACCCATTTTTTGCAGATTCTTTCCATGGGTCGCCATAGCTTCAATGAACAGCAGTCGCGGGAAAATGAAAGCGTCATGGCACCGAGACCCCCGTTCCCACAACCACGCACGGAGCGCATCGGGTCCCGACTGCACGACCCAGCGGTCACCAGTTGATAAATCTATCACAGCGCTACGGCTTACCGGCTCGGTGCAGACGATCAGACGGCATTAGCGGCGAGTGTTGGCAGACCGACCGCCAGATTACCGCACATTTATCACCGCGTCCGCTGCCGCCCGAGCACCTGTGACTCACCCCGTACATCGGGCCGCGCGAGCCCGCGCCGGGGGCGGCGGCATCGCCTGCTGGTACTAACGGGGATAAAAACCCGCTCATGCCTGGTTTGGTCACGCATCAGAAGCAGCCCGTTTCAGGTCCAGTCCGCGAGCGCGGCTTCGCTCCGGACGGCACGGGCATGCCCTGCGAGCAGCCGTGCCGCTGATGCGGGAAGACTCGCCCCGCAGTGAATAATACAGGATCGTATTGCATATTAGACCATGCAATGAAGCCGCATATCACCTATCATTAATAGGTGAATATCCATGAAGTCCGCAGGGGCGACGCGGCACACCAATACCCGATCAGAGATTCTAAAGCCTTGAAGCAAGATTGCCGCATTGACGTCGCGCTCATCGTTAGGACTCGGCCTTTTCGCCCAGTCCTCACACCACACGCACCAGCAGCTGATGCCAGCCGCTCAGCGTGAACAAAACAGCGGATCGCGAACAGATCTGTATTGAAGAAGAAGGAATGTCATACCGCATGCGCCGGGCTGGCCTCGAGGGCGCCCCAGCCCCGCGAGCGGTGTCCGGCAAGCGCCACTTCCACGTCTACAGCTAGCTGCACGGCCGCCGGCGGCCGGCGAGCGGCGAGATCGGCACACTGAAAGGCATGTGTAGCAGTGGATCGGGCGGCAGCGGCGGCGGCGGCGGCGCTCACCAGAGCGGCGTGGAGAAGCCGCCGGGTGGCACGCGGCCGCGCGCCGGCGCCGGCGCCGGCTCCGGCTTCTCGGCCGGCGGCGTCGCGGCCGGCTCGGCGCCGTCGCCGGCCGAGGCGGGGTCCACGCCGCCGTCCTCGCAGTTCTCCGAGTCGTCGGCACCAGCCTCGGTCTCGTCGGTTGTCGGCGTCGTCCTCCTGCGCCGCAGGGTCGGCCGGCTCTGCGGACGCGAGTGAGAGCACGATGACGGGGTGACATTCGCCGCGGCAGGCGTGCGGCGAGGCTCGAATGACGCGGCGATGGTCGTGTCCGAGTGAAGTGGGCCGAGTGAGACCTGCTGGTAGTTTGCTTGGATTTGGCACTAACGATACTGACATACTCTGATGTCAGGTTCCACAGAAATATCACCAAAAGCCTGATACGCATACGCATACCACTCATTCCATTATCAGATGCATCAGGGCAGCCTCATCGCGAGTGCCAAGAAAAGCAGGGTACTTCCAGGAGCTGCCCTTCCAGGCACCCCGTTCACTGGTAATGATGATTGTTTGTTTACCGAGTTTGTTTACAAAGCGAAGCCATCATCGCATCGCCAAGGCCATACTAAAGCCAGTCCTCCCGCGAAACCCGCAGAAGCAGAGACGCTGACAAATAGCAACGGGCTAAATCAGCACGCAAAACCCAACAAGCGCGGCCGCGCTCACAAGCGCGGCTCGCGCGGGCCAACCCCTGCCCCCGCTGGCGGCCGGCGCGTGCTTGGCCGGGGGCCACGGCGCTGACCTTCGGCCGGGGGCGCCGACTCGGCGGCCGGCGCGTCGCCGATGGACGCGCTCGAGGCGGAGTGGCGCGGCCGGGACGGCACTGGGGCGTCATCCGGCGGGCCGAAAATGTTGGACGAGCCACCGCCGGGGGGCTTCAGCACCCTGTGGCATGCGCACGCGACGGTCAGTATGCCCGCCTTTTTTGGTCGGTAGGTGGACTGCTGATGCACGCGATGGGCGTGGTCGCTGGACCAGTTTGATAAGGACATATATGTATGCTTGGGTCAGGGGCATGAGTGCTGAACCCAGTGATGTAACATCTGGATGGCTGAGGATGTACTTTGCATTGAACACTAAACACTGTCTATGCAAATCTATTTTTGTGCACACAACATTCTGATTCCATACAAACTTGCTGTATGATGCTGGGTCATCCACTGTGTGAAAAGCATATATGACTCCACCATGGAGCATGCCCCGAGGCATCTCGTGCACACAGAGGCACACAAGTCTTACACAACAAAGTAGCAGTTTTTCACTTGACTTATCAATTTTGATCTGATTTAGATCTCATAAAATGTACCACCACTAATATTTGGCTGTATGCATTCTGTGCCCATCTTAGCGACTGAGTGACACTGCGTGTCCCACATGTTTTCTGTGCCAGAGGTGCTGTGGGTATCGAATGCAGCTAGTGCCTTAACCGTGACCCCTGCAATGCAATGTTCTTAATAAAACAACACGTCTGTAAAGCTAATGAACTCTGCTGGCATTAAGTGCCTCAACATTGCATTAGGTGTCACTTTGAAAAATTTAAAAAACAAAAACAGATGACAAGAAATAGAAAAAAGCTTGCATTTGTACTTCAGGCATTACTATTCCCTCCCATGTCACCACATATTGATGACAAGTCTGAGCAATACAGCATGGATATGCATGATACAAGTGCCAATGCCCACCATAATACCTTTTCCTGATTATAGCATTACATGGTTAATACCAGTTGTTGCTCATTAATCACAAAGAGCATTGTTAGCACAACCTGGATGTCATGAGACTCAAGAAGTGCAGAAAGGGGAAGACCTGAATCAAACCAAAATCAAACAAATGCCATATCATCCTCTCTGCCCCTGGGGTGACCGCTTGGGCAACACCCTTGTCTCCATACATCGATCAACTAAATTAAAGCCCCTGTACAATGACAAAGATTTCAAGAGCACTACACATTTTGCTGGTGCCACCTGCTGTGTCTGTGCTGAATGGGTAACTCAGCTGCAAAAAACATGCCATAAAGGACAGTGTAAGTGCAGATGATTTTAAACTTTAAAGTTTGAGCTGTAAAATGTTTGATGCATTTCTAAATGTTCTAGCTTTAGTGATGCAAAGGTGCAATGGAAATCTTTGGGAAAAGTTTTGTGTAATTCTAGCCCACCAAAAGCAGAGCAGTATGAGTAATCAATGACTGTTAATAAGATCATGAGGAAAATCAACAACACCCTACACAGCTGAAAATGGCATGACAGGTCAAATTCTTACTTAGGGCAGGATTGAAACTACCCAAGCAACATGTCAACTGATCTGCCATCATTTGCTGACAGGTCAACATTTTATTTCTGGCAAGGTAAACATCATTGCATCCTAAAAGTACTCTGCATTCAATCTGTGGCTTCCCATCTCCTAAAGATGATGTCCAAACCAAGCTGCCACACAAAAAAACTCAAACGCCAACTCATCCTAACAGTGAATGGATTATTTGCCAACTGGGCCCAGTTTGCAGACAAGGCTTGAGCCACCAAAAAACATGCTGAATTTTTCCGATTTAGTGACCCAACATGAGCATGTCAATGTTGACTGAAAATAAAATGGCATGATAGCAATAAGACTGAAGACAACTGAAAAACTTACGAACTCTGACTGTCACACAACGCGAAAACTACCAACCTGCTAGAGATTCGTTCAGAACCACCCAAACCGATTGTCAGTTCTGTCGTCGTCATGTTGGTTAACAATGTAAAACACTAAACGGTCCCAAGTCGCACAACCAACACCACCAAACGCTGCGCCAACGCCCTAGTGCCAGATTTGAATCGCCTTTGTACTGGAGCGCCCAAGGCTGGCCTTTCACTTCCAACATGGTGTCTTGAGTCAGCTGTCCTTAATGCTGAAGTGTGAAATGCACCAATCACAAGGCAGTGACGAATTGGCTTGCGCGGAGCTCCGTCCCCACCCAAATTTCTTTACAGCACGCAATAATTAAGTGAAACGTAAAGTTGTCTCCATCCAAGAGGTTTGAATCACTTCACAAACTTTCCAGTTCTCAAAAAATAGATGTTAGGGCAGCCTACGTTATGTAACTGTTTTTGCAGAAACGCCCTATTGTTTGTCATTACATGGGTCGCAAATAATTGCTGATCAAAAAATATAAAAAACAGAGGTTCAGGAGTATTTAACCCTGGTTCTGCCCTATGGGCGTTGACAGGAAAGACATGGCCTTGGCTGGAATGGCATCCTTGGCCCAATTCAGCCTCTCCTGGTCGCTATGCCCTTGGTTCTGGTACCAAGACAATGCAAGGTACGAAATTAAGACACCCATTGTTCCCTCCCTTTTGAATTATTGGAGGTCGTGTGGTTCGTATGGTGTGGGTGTGCAGAGTCACACAGAGGGGCTGCTGGGGAGCCCTTTCGTATTTGTTGTCAATCTGTTATTGATGACGTCAAGCATTGAATGCGAACATTGCGTTAGGATTTGGTATTTAGCCAGCTGAAATAGCTGCGCCAGCTGTTGCAAAGAACTGGCGCATTTGTATCATGTTTCTCATAGATGTATCCACCGTCTGTCATCAATGTTATCAGTGTCAGTCGACGCTGGTGGACGGCGGGGTTGGGTGCAGCATCTGGAGTCGGTAATTGAGAAACCGATACGCAGGCGCTGCGTGCTTTTATGCAGTTGCTTATTTACTTTTTAACGGATCAAATCCAGGGCTAGCATTTTTTTAATTGTATGTAAAGATAATAGTACTTGGCGGGAAGCCGTTGTTGAGTGTTACAAAAGTGATGATTGTGTGCCCTTTCAGAATAAGCAAAAGGCCTCCGAACGTTCCTTCCAATGAGTTTCAACCACCGTGTATCATGATAGCTCTTTGCCATCTAAGCATCCACAAATGAAGTGCATTTAACTGCACTTTAGTGTTAAAGGTTGTTTTGTGTGCTTGCCTCATGCACATGTGGATGGAGAAACATTATTTATTGGTCAATGATTGATTTGCTTCATACAGACATAAAGTAAAGTGTAACAAGGAGATGCAAGAGTATTTATGTTCTGCTTCCCCCCATCCTCCTCTCTGTACAAGCATGTAGCATGTTTGGGAAACGAGTAAGGTTACAGGTACATAAACATCCCTGTATTTATGTTTTGCTAGCTCCCTGCATCTTTAAGGATTAATAGGATATTTCTATTTTCAGGGAGTAATTATCTGCACTATTTTGATATCCAGATTGTCTTAAAATAATTAACTAAGTGCCTGTGGGTAAGTTTCTTAGAAAAGCTTTTGCAAGTTTTTTTTTAACTGTTCAGCCTTTTGTATATTTTAAAATCATTCCATTCCCCCAATCTCTGCTGTATTATGTCTAAACATTAGCAAACCCTTACTAAAATTCAAATATACTATGTCAGCTCAAATCATCATTTCAAAATCATATAGCTCAAAATAAAAGGAGTTAAAAGATGTGTCATGCATGAATGTCAATAACTAAATTATGGTATCAGTATCATTCCACTTACCTCCAAGAATGCCATGATCATGTTGTTAGTAATCAATCATTGTAGTATATATATATATATATATATATATAATATAGTATATTATGATTATCTTCAGACCCAAGAAGACTTAGTGATGGATAGTTTCATGCAATGCCTGTGCCACTGTTGTGAAGGTTATGCCATCTATTTTTTGTGTGCATTATGATGCTCAAACATATTTCTCTATACCTTTCTGATTTATTTGGCCTCATTTTTCTGCTATGCTTAATGATGAGGATAATCTCAGGTATATTTAAGCTTCAAATGTACAGTCTGGTATGGCCTAGTTTGTAAGGATATTGGGAGTCTAGTGTTTGACCCACAGTAGTAAATATTGATCTATAAATGTCTGCCAATTTCCTTTTCCATTTCTTTGTCACCATGCATATGGTTCCATTAAATGCTAGAGATCCAACAATTTTGACATTTTGTTCAGATTTGTGAAAACTGAAAAATGTAGCACCATCAAACTATCTAGCTAAATTAGTGGTTTTTGGCATCTTTAATGTACCAACCTTTTTGTTATGTCACACTAAGTTTCTACAAGCCTATATTTCTAGCTTTATTTACAAGCATGTACCATATGTGGGGAATGAGAGGGGCAACAGGCATATGAACTTCCACTAATGGTTGTGTTTTAACTTTATGTATAATAATAGCTGTTTTGGTAGTTGTGCCACACCAGCTTTCATCATGTTCATGGTGTATGCATCCAGGGATTAAGGAATAATAGCCAATATGCTGAGAAGTGATAAGATTCCTATGATATGGGCAAGGGATCATCCTGCTTGTCTTGATATCCCTTCCCCTTGATTTGTGTTCCAGATATGAATGCCACAAGATTTGGTGCCACAAAAAATGGAACAGTGGTTGGGGCTTGGATGTATATGTGATCCAATAGGATGCAGCACAATTTTAAAGCAGAAAAAAGTAAATGGAAAAAGGAGGCTGATATCTGTGCAAAAGAATTGTGCAAAAGTGATTATTGAACCAAATACAGACCTGGAAACCATCAGGGAGATGCCATCACAAAAGCTTGATAATGGACATAATGGTCCCTTACCTGCAAATGTGTTCTAGATTTGAAAGCAACTGCTGCAGCTGTTGCCTGATGTTGACTTTTGATGAGTCCCTTTGGTCTGATGCATAGTTGAGAAAGCTCAGTGGGCTTAGAAACCTCAGAGAAAACAAACCATTAGAAGGTGGAATATTACACTTAAGATGGTGTTTTATCAGTTGGACAATAACTTAAGAAAGTATTGAGCACTAGCAGGCCTCAGGAATAGCTCTGTCAGCAAGTAAATATTGAAATGAAATTCATATGAAACAGTATGATCTTGGATGCACTGGAGCAGCACTCCTTTAACTTTGTGGCTCATTAGTGCATTTGAGTTCAAATTAGACAAAAGTATTTAGTATGCCATGTGAAATTTATTCAAGGCTACTCTGCATAACATATGAAATGTTGCTTTAGACAGCATCACTGGTTCCATAAGAAATCCTTAGACCTGAAGCTAACCACTCAGGTCACAGGATAAAATGTTGTCTTCACTCATCATAGATAATGTATAGAACAGGGTTACTGTTTTTGAAAATTCATTTTGTGTGCTGTTGTCAGTTGAATTAAACTGTCTACTTTAAGTTTTCCCACAGTACATATGGAAAGAGACAGCCTTCGGTTTGGTATGTCATCTGTCACAGGTCAACATCCCATACCTAAATCATAGTCAGCACTGCTTTCAACTTTCCGTTCTTCAGACTTTAGTTCCTGTCTGCTTCGCTCAGCCGCAAGTACGCGCTCACGACTGATGTTATGTTTAGAAGACCAACAGATACCTAAGTTCTCCCAACAGTCCCGACGACGTCCGCCGGAGCGCCGCGGCGACGGGTCCCGGCCCGGGGCGGCGGGCGGCGGCGGGTCCCGGCCCGGGGCGGCGGGCGGCGGCGGGTCCCCGGCCCGCGGCGGGCGGGCGGCGGGCCGGGTCCCGGCCTACGGCGGCAGCCGCCCTGCCGTCGGCGTGCGGCCGTGTCGCGGCGCCGTCGAGCGGGCGGTGGCGGCGGTTCGCGTGTGACGCGTGTCGTGCCGCAGGTGCCGCCGCCGCCGGTGACTCACGCCATGTGAGGCGTGCGCGTCGGAGCGGGACGCCACCGACTGTACGCCGCCGTCGACGGGCGGCGCGGCGACGCCGAGCAGCGGCCCGAGCCGCCGGCGCGCCGGCGTGGGGTCCAGGCGGGCCGCCCGCTGCGCACGCTCCGGCCGGGAGGCGGAGTCGGCCGGGGAGCGGCAGCGCCGAGAACACGGCGGCCGGTGACGCGCCGGGCCCGGCCCGGGTCCCGCTGGACGTCATGTCGCGGGCCGTGGCCGCGCGCAACAAACACGTGCCGGCGGACAAGGTGAGGCCCGCGCACTGCGGGGCTGGCGGATTTGGGCGGCTGTCTCGCTCCCCGGGCGGTGCGACGTTTTGTTCCTCGGCCTGTGTGGACATGGCAGTCTGTGGGGATGGGTTTCGTAAGTTTTTGTGGACAAAGCGTAGGATGGTGCGGGAAAACGTCGATATTGATTACCTTTGAGTAGAAAGTGATGTACACTAGGAGCGGGGCCACTGCGAACTGGAAATTTCAATCGTGAAGTGCAACTCGCTTTTCCCTCGTCCTCGCTTTCGCAATCAGTGTCAGCTGACGACTGAGATCCATTCGTGGACGCCAGTGCTCTACCAATGCATCTCCCCTGCTGCAGCGAAATCGATGCAGCTGTACAAAGCGCCCGTTTTCCCTAGAAGCAACTGCCCTCTTTCTATAGACTGCCAACGTCTCATCACATCCGACGTACCCACGATCGCGCTATGGGCGTTATACCGGGCATGCCACCTGTGGGACTGCTCAGTCTCCACTCCCTTCCACGTGACTCCTGGCTTCCCCACCGTCGCCGGCGACGCTCCCGTCCACTGAGATAGCCCTCCCCGAGCGTGTGCGAGGCTGAGCCCGCTGCGCGCGTGGCGTTGCAGATCAACCTGCGGCTGATCCTGGTGAGCGGCCAGAGCCGGGAGTACCTGTTCGACAGCTCGGACTCGGCCGGCGACATCGCACAGTTCGTGTTCGACACGTGGCCCGAGGGTGAGTGTCGGCCGTCCGGCGGCGGCCAGCGCGTGGAGAAGGTCAGCGCCGGTGGGTGGTGGCGCGGACTGGGCGGGCGGTCACTGGGTGTGGGGAAGTGGCGACAGCGTCGGCGTCGGCAGCCCGCGGTCGGCGGGTGAATGTGTGGCACAGTGGGGCCAAGTGCGGGGTGGAGGGGAGCGCTGTCGGGAGCCGAGTGTGCTGTCCGCCCTGGACGAACCCTTTCCAAGAATAGCATCGGTAGTAAACACCGCTGCCGCCAATACAGGCATCGGCGGCGTCGACATTGTTCACTGGGAGCGAGCTAGGGGACCTGGTCTCCAGTAACTTATGGGCAGCAGTGCACAAAATAGGCTGGAGCACACACGCTCTGCGTGTATCGTGCTCCGCGTTTCAAAAGGTGCGCCAGCGCGTAAAGGGGCGCAATAGGTTGAAGTACTTTTTAAAGTTTGTCCACTAGGTATGTAGTAAATGGACAATGCTCCATTGGACCCGACTTGGCTGGTAAATGCGGTGAATGGGCGAGTGGCGACAGGGACTGGTGGCGTGGTCAGCGCACGGAGTGCGACTGGAGAAGCGCAACCCGCGTCGTGACACCCCTTTTTGGGAGCGCCAGCGACTGCGTTGGCCATAGTAGCACCCATGGGCCATGGCGCAGCCAGGATACGGGCCCGAGCTCCCCACGTGGGAGTCCAAGGTGCCAACCATTCGCCCAATGCACGGTGCACGGGTAGCTACTGCGCGGGGGGGGGGGGGGCTGGCGCTGGGCTCGGTTGTCAACGTGGACAGTGACCGCGGTTGGTTGTAACTTGACGGCGAGGTGGAAGTGAAGGCCAGTGAGGCCGGTTGGATTTCTTATGGGGTCCCCGATTAGTCAGGCCATTGGCCCGACGGGGCGTGTGCGCCGCGTTCAAACCGTGTTGGCATAACTCTGTTCACGAGCGTACACCGGTGCCTGGATCTATGATGAGAAGACATTTTGGGGACACGGAACCTTTGAGTTTGAATGTAGTGTTGTGTTTGGATGTAATTGACGGATCGGCCCGTGAATAGTCTCATCGATGGTGTTTTCAGTTTACGACTTTTGAAATTAAGTTTCCGCAGGAGCGGAGTCGGGAGGCGAGGAGCAAGCAAAACGTTTCCGTGAAAAACTGACGTTTCGAGAACATTCTGTATGCCTGCTCGTTGCGACCGTCTTCTAGGTTTGGAATTTGGCGTCGGCAGCCTGCGGCCGGCGGGTAAATGTGTGGCACGGTGGGGCCAAGCGTGGGGTGGAGGGGAGCGCTGTCGGGAGCCGAGTGTGCTGTCCGCCCTGGACGAACCCTTTCCAAGAATAGCATCGGCAGTAAACACCGCTGCCGCCAATACAGGCATCGGCGGCGTCGACATTGTTCACTGAGAGCGAGGCGGGGGACCTGGTCTCCAGTAACTTACAGGAAGCAGCGCAAAAAATAGCCCGAGGCACACACGCTCTGCGTGTATCGTGCTCCGCGTTTCAAAAGGTGCGCCAACGCCTAAAAGGGCGCAATGGATCGAAGTACTTTTTTAAAGTTGATCCACTAGGTATTTAGTAAATGGACAATGCGCCATTGGCCCCGACTTGGCGGGATTTGACATTAACTTGTCATACGTACTGACTATATCTTAAGCTGTTCAGTGTACCTGCGTTGAACATGGCATGTGCATAAGAGCACATCTGTTGACCTTATTCTTCGGTGCTAGTCGAAAAGGGGGAGGAAATAGCTATACAGGGATGTTTCGGCCACAAGCTTGTCTCGTAACAGTTGGTACAAAAATGGAAAGGCAAATGGACGAGACACATATGCTCATCCAGTTATTCAACTATTTCATACTATTCAACTAATTTCAACAACATAATTTCATACTATTCAACATACTATTCAACTATTTCATACTAAAGATGTTATTGTAGTTACTATTATCGTACTTCTTGCATTTCGAAAAGGGGGAGCGGCCGACTGTCAATGCATTGTTATGATTGCATCCCACCTTCGCTTCAGCTACCAATGAGCAGTCATTCCAAGAGAAGTGCTCCTGGCTGTGTCTTGCACGAACAACGATAAGCGTTCCACCCCGGCATGGCAGGTTATTTGCCTCCGTGGGACGGTAGTCTTGTAACGCCGCGAGCGCCCGTTCGTCGGTTCCTCGGTTAGTGAACGATTGTGGGGGACGCATGTTTTGATTGCCAGGCTGTAGCTTAATTGCCAGGCTGTAGCTGAAGAAGGCGACGACCTATGTGGTTTTTTATCTGATTATTCGACGTATCATCTTATTGTAGGAGAAGGGCTATACCAAAAAAAGGAAAATAACTATACCAAAAATTATTGCTAGTGCCTCTTAGTTGTAGCGCGGTTTAAGACCATTAGCCCGGTGTGGCGTGTTCGCTCGCTCACCTTAAGCCCGCGGACTGGATCACGATCACCGGATGGTGCTACTTCGGCGTCTGCCGTACGCCTGTGAGCTTTGCAAAGAATACATAAGAAAATAAATGACGGATTAATGTCAATTTTGTCAACCGAAGGGCGAAATTTTAGACGCGTATGCAGTTTAATCGCGCGACGCCTTACATAACAGGCGTTACGCAGTTTCATACATTACCGGCTTCACGAATTTACATCATATATGCGTATATATATATATATATATATATATATATATATATATATATATATATATATATATATATACATACTCCAAGTAGAAAAGAGTGCGTTGCTTTGTCTCCTGCCTGGCGCATTGCGTGAGTGCTTCCCGGCCCACCACAATCAGTGGCGTGTCCTATACAACACCGTCGTCTTCACAAGATCGGTCCTGCCTTGGTGAATAACAGAGCGCAGCACCGCTCACAGTGTGGGACCAAAGCGTGTCGACAAAACGGCCGTTGCGCGACCGCGCCTTCTCTCCCGTGCCTAACAGCCGGGCCGGGCGGGCGTCACCCAGTTTCTCCCACACTTCGGTGCGTCATGCATCAAAGCTCGTGACGTGAATGTGGCGGCTTGAACGCCGGGCGAATAGCTGTTTACCAGTGTGGCGCACACGCGTGCAGAGACGCGCGTTTAGGCGGCGTTTGAGCTGCCGTGGCCTGTCCGCCGCGCGCGGCTCCGCCATATCGGTGGGCGAGCCGAGCCGGCCGTGTGGGCGGTGACGATCCGAGCGCGGGCTGCGGCGCTGTGTGGGCGGAAAGCGGCTGTGATTGGGCGCCTCCGACAGTGATTGTGCAAGACGGAGCGGGACGGTAATGAAGGCTTTGGCAGAGACCGGCCTGTGAGACCTCTGGGCGGAGTGTGGAAGGTGCCGGGGCCTTGTGAGGCCTCTGGGCGCAGTGTGCGGTGTCGGTGCCGCCGCTGCCGTGTGGAAGGTCCCGGGGCCTTGTGAGGCCTCTGGGCGGAGTGTGGAGGGTGCCGGGGCCTTGTGAGGCCTCTGGGCGGAGTGTGTGGTGTCGGCGCCGCCGCCGCCGTGTGGAAGGTCCCGGGGCCTTGCGCCCATACTGTCCTGATGTACCTCCCGGCTGTCGGGCTCTGGTCTTTGTGCCGTCGCATGCCGGACATCGATGCAGTTATTGTGAGTTTTATCCGCGTGATATACTCACCGCAATAGCACCCTCAAGTCGCCGCGTAATTAAAATGTGAGGAGACCGCAAAGTGGCCTCAGTAGCCGATGCGCTCCATCATACCAATCATCATCATCGTGGCGCGTGCACTGTATCGAACGGCGCCGGTGTTCCTGGGACGCCACCTGCATAGTCGTTTGTCGCCCATGGCAAAGACCCGCTGATTAGTGCAGGAATGCACGCGGGTATTTTGCCGAATGATCTTGAACACTTCTGGTTGGCGAGTGTGGTGTGAAGCGCTCCAAATAAAAGCTGCGGTTTGTAACATACTCACCTGACAACATCCTGTACTGCTGTTCACTTCCAATGTCCGTATGTGTTGTGGCCAGTTGTGGGCAGGCAGGAAGCCAAGGCAGTTAAGGCTTGTGCTGCAAGGCGTGCGTTTCCTCTCTGTTTTCGGCGACGGTGCTTCG